GTTCAGCAGCAAACACTGATTATATTTCCATTTAATCTATTTGGAGAGAAACCTGATTGAGTTTTCAGTTGATAAGCAACTAGAATACAGAACAAAAAAGCTATTAAAAAATAAAAGCTAGTGCAGAGATGTAGCACCATGGTTAGTGGGTTTGCTCTCCCTTTTCAACAGCAAATTATATTTAAGTCTTGTTCTTCTGCCCATTTCCAGAAAAAAAATGCTATGTCATCTAAACATTGTAGCTTTTAGAAAACAATTCAAACATGAGAATTACTTTATTTCTGTCTGGCTGTGAAAATATCTCTTATGACAGTGTCTTATTGAGGGATAGCAACAGAATATTTTTAAAATACATTTTAACATTTGAACAGAGGCAGAGAACATTGTGTAAATTGTGGGATAGTCCTACTTTTTAAATCATTGGTAATCCCATACCCTGAAATGCAGTGTATATGGGCTGGGTCACAACTGCTACCACATTCTAGTGGTGGGTTTATTCTGGTAATTTGCAAGTTAAAAACAACAACAAAAAAAAAAATAAATCTGAACATTCATTTCCAAGCCAATACTTCTTTATTAAGAAGAGCTTTCAGTGTTAGAAAGACTGGTTTGTGCATGGTTTCATATTATTTCCCCTACTTCTGTGGTCTGTTGATAAACAGATCTAGTTTGCCTCCTAGATGCAGGAAGAGTTGGAGAAGCATTTCTTCAGCTGCAGGTAAACTTCACAGAACAACATTGCAATAAAGCTTCCCTTGGGCTCCTTAGGGCCTTCCAGCAGTGGCTTTTCTAGATGAAAGAAGCAAGTCTGTATAGAAACTAGAAATTTCAGGTTTTTATAATTATTCAGAAGAATGTCTACTGTGTGTGCTTGCTATCAATATAAGGAGCTTACTCATTTCTAGCCTGGAGTAGGAACATGCATGGATGGCACAGTATACGTCTAAGAAAAATTTGAGAAAGTTTATCTTAACTCAGCCATCACACTGAGGTACCATTGAACTGAGTTGCTGGCGCCTTTAAATGAAATTTCATTTTTAAAGTCTTCACAGAAATTAAAACAGGGAGAAAATTAATGTCAGATCATCCCATCTTCATAAACAAGAAATGCAGATCTCTAAGTTACTATAAGAAAGTTCTCAAATCTATATAAACTACAGGTACCAGTATACAATAACAATACCAGTTAGTATAAATTTAAGTTATACATTTTCCAAAAAGCATGTATGTTTCTCAATTTTATTAAAATGCTTTCTGAACATGTGTTCAGTTAAATCCTATCTTCATCTGCAAAGAGCCAAACAGTACTTGAAAACTTCTGAGCTTTTTGCTCAGCATTTCCTTGATACTTACTCCACTCT